CTGTCCTCTGTCCACACACACACACACACGGGACTGTCTCAGCTGTTATTTTCGTTAAGGAGTGTGCACGTACAGCATGCGCGCCTCGTGCACGAGCCTCCTATTGAAGCTGCCATTACACTTTTGGCCTGAGGGGGCAATAGCGAGCATAAAAATTCAAAAGTCCGTAAAGCCCCTTTAATTGGTTTGGCATACATGTGATGATTGGTGGTTTCAAAGCTACACATGATAGACATCCTGGATAAAAGCTGCAAAGTCTGACTGGCATCATCTGATAAATGATGAATAAAATAAGATGACTGGTCACTTTAGTCTGCACATTCATCAGAATCATCTCTAGACACAGCTGGAGAAGTGAAAATTCCATCAATCAAAAATAAAACTCACTGTTCTCTATGGAGCCCTTATCAGCCACAACAATAGTGTAATTACTCCTTGATTTTCATTCTCAGGAAAATGTTGAAATGCAAAACATTCTTAAGTGTGGACAGTTTCTCACTCTGTAGCAGAAATAGCAAAGAGATGAAGGATTTTCAACAATTTTACTGTAAAATAAAGGTTTCCACACTGTCTAATTCAGTGGCTGCACTCACGCAGATCTGAAATCTGAATTAAAAAGAGAAAACTGACCATTTCTTTGTAGCCTGTTCTCCTCACGAATGAACACATTAATGTAATATGATTTCAAAGTCCACCATTCAGCACGGTTAACGGCATGCTAAGTGTGCAGCTCGGGGTAGATCTCAAGATAATAATGTTAAGAAGAGCTCCAGGAGACAGTCATTTGGGAGCACCTGTTCCTCATCATGTGCATGTGGAAACGACTCCGTCACTGTTCATCCTCGGCCTCTGGACAGGAAGCAAATCACTCTCTAAAACCACGTCTGTGCAGGAGGAGTGTTTATGTTTCAGACTCTACAACACGGACATCTTGGATATCTGCTGTGTGGATGACAAATCCTTGATCTGAAAGGAGTTTCTAGGTTGAAATTGAAGTTTTAGATCATTCATCAGCAGATGGATGGACAGCTAGAGAACTCTAGAGGATCCACCTTGAACATCAAGGTTTTTGTTGGCATTACTGTTAGCTGCACAATGGATCCTCAACTTCATGTGAAAATGCTGGAACACGTATCTGTATATCACTTCTAACAAGTAAATTATTCATTTTTGATACAGGGGTTACAGAAATGGTTAATTCTGTTAGCAAGCACTCCAGATTTGCTCTAAAGTTCATTTTAAACACTAGACAGTGTCCTCATGATTACAACCATCTGATTAAAATACATACATTAGGACCAATAACAGCAACGTTTTGGAGAGTTCGTCACCAGGATGGGTGGATTTGCAAAAAGTAGCATGATTTGTTCTAATTCTAACACTGTTTCCACATGACTGGACTTAATGATTTTGGTGCGGTTGTCCTTCCACATATTTTCTGGATTGATTGTTTCCATTATGATGGGAATTAGCAAGATCCATGTTGGATTGAATTATATTGGCAGGACTATTAAAAAACTGCTGGATAGACCATTGATTATTTTGTTGTTGTCTGCTATAATTCTAAAATACCTCAAATGTCAAATAAATGAATGTCAGATTTGTTATGAAGCCGACCCGTAAAACTTAAATTCGGTGATTTAATCACGTTTGTTCATCACTGGTTTGGCATATCCTTTTCCAGAATAATTGCACAAGACCACACCAGCGTTGTTGTGGGAGATTTTATAGCTTACTTGAAGCCTCAGGGGAGAAAATAAGAAATATGTTGGATGCTAAAGTCCGTGGTGCTGAGGATCTCCGCAACACATCTACAGTGGGTGTTTTATTGTTGAAATTCTGGTTCTGATCATTTTCTCTCTTTCATCTCTTGACACGCATCCTTAGCCTAATATCTGGTCTTTCACTATTTACCATTAATTAGATGAAACAACCGATATAATAAAACTGAAAAGAAAAGTTCTTAAACAATTTAGCGGGCTTTTATTGTGAAAAGCAGCAACTGACTAAACGAAGACCTATGAAAGCTGATATGAAGTACAAATTATTTTTTCTACTTTATGAAATTGCAGGAAACACCAATTTTGGGTGATAGAAACTGCCCTGAGCAGCTTAATATTTAACAAAGTTTTAGTCTAAAAAATTGCTGAAGGCTTTCTTGGCTCATGCAAGTTTTAAAAAACACAAAGAAAAGATGCTCAGAGAGATGTGTGCGCACCAACACATGTGTGTCACCCTGCAGGCACAGGAGGATTGGACCCAAAACGCAGAACACCACAACTCAAGGCAGGAGAGGTTGTATAATTAAAGAATCCTTTTATTGGGGGTGAGAACTAAAAAGCAAAAACTGCAGGACTCAAAGCCAAAGTTCAAACGTTCCAAAAGGTCAAAAACCAAAGCTCACTCTTGAGCGAGAATCTATAGATACTCGAGGGGAACAAAAACAACACTGACAATGGACCGACAAACTATGGAGACACAGACAGGGTTATAAACACAGGGCTGGGGTGGTAGGAGACGAGGAGCAGGTGCGTGGGGAACTGGGCACAGGTGAAACCAATAACAGAAGCAGAACGGAGCAGGGGAGGAAAACAGACCTAACTGGGGAAGGGAACACACACGTGCGCACACACACACACACACACACACACACACACACACACACACACACACACACACACACACACACACACACACACTAAAGGAGACTAAGGAACTGAAATAATAGACCTACAGAAACTACAGTGGGGAGACTGAGGCCTAGTCCACACGTAGCCGGGTTTTTTTTAAAAACGAATATCCGCCCCTCCAAAAACTTTCATCCACACCACCTCGTTTTAAAAAAAAAAACTGTCCACACGTACCCGGATAAATACGTTGTTAAGGACATGCCAGACCTGTAGGCGGCAGTACTTCCCCCGTTCTTAACCTCGTCCTTCGTCTGTGGTCTTCCGCAAGGAGCAGTAATTCCGCTTGCAACAACAAACAAGCAAAAAGCGCTTGGACGATTGATAAAGCGAGCGCAGCTCTGAGGGCATCCATGCTGTCGGCTAGTGTAAACACAGGTCGCACACGTGATGTCAGCATTTTTTGTCGCGGAAAGTGACGTTGCGGACCTTAAAACTCCGGTTTTGTCTGTCCACACGCAGACACCCAAAACGGAGAAAACGCAGATCTTCACTTCGGCCGGAGTTTTTAAAAAGATCCGTTTTCATGTGGATGACAGGCCAAAACGTAGAAAAATATCTACGTTTTGGCAGATCCCCGGCTACGTTTGGACAGGGCCTAAGAGAACATGAGGAAAACCTGGAGGGGGCTAGGGACCAGAGGGTCACAGAACACGACAATGTGTGTGAAAATCCTTTACTGTAAAATATGAGTTATAATCATTGTAGAGAAATCTTGAAAATATGGCTATGCACAATCTCACGCAAGAATCTCACTTGGTGTGTCAGCTGTGGCAGCCATCTGCCCCTAAAGCCAATCAGGTACATATAGTTACTTCCTGTTCTTTATTTCAATAGGAGCAGTTTTTCATGAGATATTTGGTCAACAGTTGACTCCAGCAGTTGATGCCAGAGGTTTAAAATAAAAAGTTTTGCCCAACAGAGGATTAAAAAAAATCGGAACTAAACTTTGTCAGGGGTTCGTTTTGTTATTTTCAACCTTATTTTCTTGAAACTGTTTACAGGATGGGTGCCCGTTGCTAAAGTTAATTCTTCATCAAATTCAAGAGGAGCATTTTAAATTGGATCTCACACGCCAGAGTGAGAAGATGACACTGATAATAATGAAACAACTGAATGAAAATACTTTTAAGGGTTAATTTCTAGAAAGCTACTAAATCAAGATCCGCTTTGGAGAAATGACTATAAACTGGAGTGATGAGCTAACGGCTAGTCTGCTGGTGTTAGAAACAGTGATCTAACAAATACTGAATCGTGAACGCCTCTGCACCACCCTTCATGTACACAGATCACGTGATGAAACTATTGTGTTGGCAGCGCCCCCAGGCTGACAGCTGCTTCTGCTGGTTGTGCTACAAATAAATACTTATAAGAAATACAAACTCATAAGCATGTAAATGGTTAAAAATAATGTTTGTATGAAATATTGGGAATTTGGGGGATAAAAGTGGAAAACATACTTTTTCTCTCATCTGCTCAGGTTGTGATGGGTTTAGATGTCCCCAGCCAAAAGGTTAATTCTGATTGGCTGAAGCATAAATCTCCTGACATGTGGGAGAAATCCACACATTATAATTCAACAGGAAAAAAAATCTACATTTTTCTAAAACCACCTGCTCCAGTAACATCAATGTTTAGAGGGGCGGCCCCCCTCAGGGGCCCCAGTTGGCGCATCGTGTTGCCGCGGACACACGGAGGCGCCAGAACACGCAGAGCATCGATTCTGTCCCTGGATTGACTTGTAGCTTCAGTTTGAAAGCAGACGTGAAACTCATTCAGATGCGCGTCCCGCCGCTCTCTCTCTCTCTCTCTCTCTCTCTCTCTCTCTCTCCTCTCTCTCTCTCTCTCTCTCTCTCTCTCTCTCTCTCTCTCTCGTCTCTCTCTCTCTCTCTCTCTCTCTGTCTCTCTCTCTCTCTCTCTCTCTCTCTCTCTCTCTCTCTCTCTCTCTCTCTCTCTCTCTCTCTCTCTCTCCCCTCTCACTCTCCCCCCCTCCTCTCTCTCCTCTCCCTCTTCTCCTCTCTCTCTCTCTCTCTCTCTCTCTCTCTCTCTCCCTCTCCCCCCCTCCTCTCTCTCTCTCCCTCCTCTCTCTGCTCTCTCTCTCTCTCTCTCTCTCTCTCTCTCCCTCTCCCCCTCTCCCCCCCCCTCTCTCTCTCCTCTCTCTCTCTCCTCTCTCTCTCTCTCTCTCTCTCTCTCTCTCTCTCTCTCTCTCTCTCTCTCTCTCTCTCTCTCTCTCTCTCTCGTCTCTCTCTCTCTCTCTCTCTCTCTCTCTCTCTCTCTCTCTCTCTCTCTCTCTCTCTCCCTTTTCGCATGTCAGTCTCTCAGTCAGTCAGTGGCCCCGGTCCGCTGCGCCTGCGCCCGCCTCCACATCTCTCCAAACCCGAAACGCGCCACCGCTGCCGTCAAAGCGGACATGACCCACCGGCAGTAGTGGGGGTCCTCCGTCCGCCTGCTTTTAAGAAGATTAAACAAGGAGACGAAGGGAAAGAAGACATATTTCTCCCCGCGCCGTGCGTCGAGAGGAGTGGATGAGCCAATGGCCGGGGCACAGCCGGGAGTTCATGCGCTGCAGCTCAAGCCAGTGTCCGTGCCCGAGTGCCTGAGACAGGTGCAACAAATTCATGAAATGGGATGATGTAAGTAACGGCCAGCCAGGCCAGAAGTGCTTGTTTTATTTTTTATTCCTCCTCTCTTTGTCTTTGGCTGTTCTTTGCACGCGTTGCTTGTCATGCAGACCCCCCCCCCCCCCCCAATGCAGCTTATTACACAATCAATAATCGACAACAACACGGGACTGATTGAATTTTCACTCACTGTGTTTGCCTTCCCAAAACAGCGCTGCACAAACCGCTGCACGCAGACGCATGCTTTGTTTGCGTCCCAGTGCAGAGGATTTGTAAAGGTGCGCGCGAGGAAGTGCACGTGTTCACGAGTGCGCGTGTATACGTGAATGTAATTATTTCTCATTAAATAAAAGGAACAGTTTGAACTGATTTCAGATCATTTTCTGCAGCAAACATTTGATCAACTCAGCTCATTTTTAAAAAGCAGATCCACCTCGGCACCTGTTCGGTTTGTTGTCTTTAAGAAAGTCTAACCTTGATTACCACTCACTAAAGCAGCTTTCAGCAGACCTCTGTGGCCCCAGTGCGCCTTTTAGAGGCCTCACAACAACACACCTCACTAATTACCCTGCAGAGGCACATAAAGATGGAGCTCTTCCATTTTTAGATTAAAACGGATGACCTTTTTCAAGGTAATGATTATTTTCATCTCCAGCACTATCTGAAAGGGACTTTCTGTGATATTTGTTTCCCCATGTCATTTGAATAGGTGCCTGCATTTCTCTGGTTTCGCCTATTTTTTTATTGTGGCTAGTGTTTACTCTGACAATTTGCATATCAGCACTGCAAATAGTGCAAATTCTTGCAAATGGTTTGTTTCTCCTCCTGTAAATTTGATGGAAGTGCAGAGACGTGTCACTTTTTGGCTTCAAATCTTGTTAAATAAGAGGCCATGCTGCTGCTTTGTTGCTAGTGGCATTTTAGAAGATTCATTTATGAGATCATTTGTGCAAAAACACGGTCCGATTAAGAGTTCAGGTGAGCCAAACGCACTGCAGATGGCGTTTGGTTTAGGGGTGTTGTATATGTGTGAATGCGGTGACGGCTGTGAGCAAACCATGCCAAACAAGCACTCTGTCAATCATCTCAGAATTCAAGTTGTTCTTTAACTTGTAATCGCTAATGAGTGCTCTTTTCTTTAAGCTTTTGTTTTTGTTGGAGCAGAGATTTGTGTCTCTGTTTTTGTCATGATGTGAAGGGTGGAGATGGCGGACCAAGTGTGGTGGAGGGTTCAGGAGGCAGGAAAGCAGGCACGGATGAAAAAATAAAAATGGTTTAATGGTGGAAAGGGAGAGACGGGACAAAACACGCATGAACAAACAATGATCTGACGAAGACAGCAACAAGGAGGGAGGTACAAATACACAGGGAAATCAGGAACGCATGGGCAGAGTAGCGAGGGACAGGTGAGAACAATAAGGAGTAATCAGGGCAGAAGAGAGACAGTCAGGAGGGCAGGGGCAGATCGTGACAGTACCGACACAGTCAGGGAGGCCGGGGCGGATCGTGTTTCCAGTCAAGTCGAGTCTTCCAGTCCTGTCCCCGCCAAGTCAAGTGTTCCCAGTCTCCTGTGTTGTGTGGCCTTGTGGGCGTCTGGTATCCGCCCCTTAAGGGAGGGGGGGGTACTGTCACGATCTGTCCCTGCCCTCCTGACTGTCCCTCTCCTGCCCTGATTAGTCCTTATTGTTCTCACCTGTCCCTCACTACTCTGCCCATGTGTTCCTGATTTCCCTGTGTATTTATACCTCCCTCCTTGTTGCTGTCTTCGTCAGATCATTGTATGTGCATGTCTCGTTTTGTCCTGTCACTCCCGTTGCTATTAAATCCATTTTCATTTCATCCGTGCCTGCTCTTCTGCCTCCTGGAACCCTCCACCACACTTGGTCCAGCCGTGTTCATGCACAGCAGATTTATACATGTGGGCCTATCTCCAGATCCAGTACGTTCCTGAGAAATACAGTTGCATGCACTAATACTTACAGTCCTATTCCTTTCTCTTTTCCTATTTCCTCTCTGTATCATTGCATGGCTCAATCAGAAACTGGCACAGAATTGCATCTTATCACAGCTTTGGATGTAGGACTCTTCTCCAAATTCACAGCAACAAATTCAAATGTGATATTCATGAAATTCTGTGTCCTGTTGTGGTTTTATGTGGATTTTTGTACTCTGAGTTGGCACAGGAAAATATGTAAAGCATTTTTTTTACAGTGCTGGAGTGACACGCTGTATTATAATGCATGATTTGGAGCAGTTAGGGCGGTAAGCAGGGAGCCTGGGGAACAAAAAAATCTGCACACTTCAGCACACAATGCTTGGTGGCTGATTGTTGAGAAAGAATAGAAGAGCAATCAGAATCCTTCTAGAAATGTTTACACAAGTCCCAGACCTCCCCAGCCGAAGTCACACAAACACGTTCGGCATTGTCAGGCGGCTGCGTCTACAGCTCATGAAATTCCTGGTTGCATGTTAAAATACAGAAGATAATGATAACTAAGCTATCTCATCCTCTATGCAAGATAAACTAAACCTCAACTGTAATATGGGAATAAAAACATGTGTTTTAGTTAGATGCACACTGACTGTTGGGTATTTTTATAATTGTACCTTTTTGAGGCCTAAAAGATGCCCATTTTGTGTTAACACATCATGAATCTCTGTTTTTGCCAACTGTTGCTGTTCACGAAAGGTTGAGCAGGGATGTTGATTGTGGGTTTCCAACTGAAAACTGTACCTCTGTAACCTGAGAAGGCCCGCCTTCTCCCCCATCCTTTTGCTGAATAAAGCCCCTGGGAAACTGAGGAGACTTGGGAGTGACGGGGGAAAAGCCTCGGAGGAGGTTTTTCCCTGCGTTAACTCTCCATTATTTTGGGGACTCGGGGTAAAATGTCATCCTTGTTGTCATGAGTGTTATTTCAGGTTCCAGGGTTATGGAGATTAAATATTACCCCACATGTAATTACTTAACATTTTGGTGGAGAATGCGGGGATGCAGAGCTGGTGACCTGAAGGCTTTCCCCAGGAACAGAGGGGGGCTGGTTAGCTCCATGGAGGGGTTTCTGCGCCCAGCTCTCGCATGACGAATCATGGACATTACAAATAACCTCTCTCTCTGTAGCCCTTTTCAGACTGACATTCTGGAACATTTGCGGACAATTCAATCCGGTTTTTAACCGGAACTGTGTTTTCAGACACACCACTTTTGTACCGGAACTTGGCCTTTCGGCTGCGTTCACACAGCAGGGAAAAGTTCCAGATGTCTGACGGCGGCGGGGGGTGGGGTGGGGGTGGGGGTCGGGGGGTCGGACTTATGTTAAGAAGAAGAAGAAAATATCATTTCTATAGCGCCTCTCAAGATAAAAATCACGAGGCGCTTAAGCATAATTCTGCGCACACGAAGATGCATAAGAGACCTGGATGATGAAGCTCAATGGTTAAAGGAATCACTGAAGCAGTGTGAAGCGCTCCGTCGCGCGTCTAGGCGGTACCGTAGGAGGCGAGCTGTCGTGGTTCGCCGCATGCTACAGCAGCGGGCTATCTAGGTGCGCACAGCGTCCCCCGGTCCCCTCCTCCTCCCCCTCCCTCTTGTCCGGAATTTTACCTCACCAGTCTGAAGCAGCCACCCTGTCCGTAACAAGTCCGGACCTGTTACTAGGGGGCTTCGTCCGGATAAATTCCAGAACACGTTATCCGGATGTTTGTATTCAGACAGAAAGGTCTTATGGACAGAGTCCGGAACATTTCCGTTTTTCATGGCCTGTCTGAAGGGGGCCTGTGTGTGTGTTATCCTTTAAGGTAATATGGGATAAATCTAAAATTACCTATCACTGACTATGATATTAACAGGCTCTGCCGGGGGTGGTGGTGGGTGGTGGGTGGGGGGGCAAAATAAAGTCCCTTAAAGTAGAAGAATGTATCATGCTCAGAACAAAAATGTGCTGAGCTCAAAGCTCCACACTAACATGCCCCCTAAGGTGATGCTAATGGTACAGATGCTTCACTAAAATAATGGCACTCCATTTTTTGTCTTGGATTAATGTCCTCAGGGTGTGTGTATTTCCGCAAGTGAGTGAGTAATCTGATGTTCCCTCTGCCATGAGCAGACCGCTGCTTTCTAATGTGGTCTCGTTAATGTTGAGTCCAAATGACAATTTAAAAAAAAAACATTTTCAATGCAGTGGGACACGATTGGGTAAAGCGGAAACACAGCATGAAGTAATCCGTCAATTTTCTCCCAGTTTTAATCCCTGGTGCTTGAAGGAACTTTTCTTTAATGCGCAGACCCATGAGGAAATCTTCGCTCAGAGTCCACGATGGCTTAATGTGTTTGTGGTGGTGGCCGTGGAGAGTTAAGACATTAGGAAATATGCTTGTGAAAATTACCGCTCTCACATCATTAGGCAGATTCCCCGAAGCTCACAAGTTCTCCTTAACCGGCGCCACAGAAAACTCATCAGTTACCACACGTTGCCAAGAATGTTTGATTTCATTTAGTGGAACGAGGAAGTTGTTGATCCAGTTCATTATTAAATTATTTTTATGAAAAACAAAAACAAAACAAAGATATTTTTCTACGGTTTGGCCCGTCTTCCACACAACAAATGGCACCTGAAACGATTCTTTCAAAATCAAAGTGGATATCTGCGAATTGTCATCAGTCAGCATTTGCTTGTGGATGTAAGTAACCAAAGTTTGAGTTTTCACAACGTCACTAGACAAAAATGCTCTGGCATCGCGTGTGTGGCGCATGCTTACACTCGTGGACTTGTTTGTACAAGCTGTTACTGGTGTCTGTAGAAGACCACAGGAGAAGGACAACGTTGAAGACGGCAGGGGCGGCGTTAGGCCCGGCTACTTGGGCTCAAGCCCCGAATGCTTTATGAAAAGCCCCAGATCTAAATCGTGGAAGTAACCTGCAGTACTAAAGTCCAACAGAGAGGGAGCAGCTGGCAGTAGTTTGTATACAGCCTGCCTGAACCTCCACCACTGAAGAAGAAGCCCTTCAGCAGCCG